CGTCCAGGCTGTCTGCACCAATCACACGCTTACATTTAATTCATTTTAATTACACATTTAAGATCATTTTAAACCAAATTGAAAACTAATTTTTGGACAAATTATTCAAACGTTGCAGGTTAATCAGCAGTTTATCTGTAGTCCTGTGAAGAGGAAGGTTTAGTGTCAGAGTTAGACACAGTTAGAGCTGATGTACATTTTTATTTTCAACAGTTAAATGTAAATATGAAGAAACACGACAGAATTAAGTTCAGTATCAGGTTTGAAGATTTGTGACATCAGAGATGAACATTTACACACTGAAGAGCTCGACTCAACAAATTAAAAGATGGATATATTAAGATAAAATGTCACAAATTCAAATTTGAGATAAATGACTTTAGGCTGAATATTTATAAAATCAAAGACATTTCCAGACTCTAAAAGGACCTGCAGTCAGCCTGTATGTGCAGTAGCAAAGCTAAAGGTCCTGCAAAGAATCTTGTCTTTTATCCCCTGCAAAATATCATGGCCAAAAGTATGTGGACACACCCCACAGTTTGGGCTTTTGGATCCAAGTCAGGAGCATCTTCATGCTGCAGCATACAGGGATAGTTTAGACAGTGAAGACCTGATTGCCTCCAGGTATGGAAATAGTTTCTGAATGAGAAGCTCAGGTGTCCACATACTTTCGGCCACACAGCAGTGGAAATAAGATGCTTTAAGTGAGAAACTCTCCCTCCTTCAGAGCATCTTGTGCATCAGTGTTGACGTGTGTGCTCTGAGCTGAGCCGTGTGACGGTTCAACTCGGCTGACCAACAGGTGGCAGCAGAACCACATCACTGAGTCTAACCGTGGCGTCCTTTGTCTTCTTCTTCTTCAGCCTGACCAGTGTTTATATATATGATGGAGGAGCTGCAGCTAAATGCTAATCTGCTGATTAGCACCCTGAGTGTTGCTTCATCCATTACAGCTTTAATTTCTCCATTTACACACAAGTCAAATCACCAGGCATCACATTTAGACTCTGATTGGTCTGTTAATTCAATAACCTATGATATGCATTTTAACAGCAGAGCTGGACAATTATTAAAAATAAAGTCTCCTCATTTAAACAGATCAAGTTTAAGGACATGAGGACTGATCCGTGACGGGGTCAAAGGTCACTGACTGCAGGAAGTAACCACAGTGCAGGCTTTAATCATGACAACTCAACACATGTAGGAACAAACTAAACCCTCAGACTTAAAGGAGAGTGATGGTATGTACAAACCTGGACCCGTCTCTCCCTCGTTTTTAAGTGATAAAGGGGAACAACAGTTTCTGAAATCAGTCCAGTGCTGAGTGACACAGCTGTCAACTGTCAGCTGTCAACCCTGCAGGCAACTGAGCTCCATGAACGTACGTCCACTGAAAGTGTTTTTGCAGCTGACAGGATCAGATTGTTATTCTGAGTGTTGTGTAAAGTATCACACATCTATTTGTTAGAGTAAGATCCTTTTAGTTTGACCAGAAACAGCCCCAAATCACCATCATCACACCCACCAGACTCAGTTTAAACGAACAGTCATTTAATCATTGTTAAACTCAGTTTGTTCAGAGTCACAAAGCAAAATAAAACTCACTGAAACTGTCTCAGTTTGTTTCTTCAATTCTCTGACAATCACCGACTCTGGTTTGGTTGATATAAACTCTCAATTCATCCAGTTAGATGTGAAAAATATACAAACTTTATACACATGCTAAAATGTCTGTTTATTTAAATGGAGTTTGGCAATGGTGATTTTACGGTTGTTTCTGGTTAAACAACATGGATCTTACTCCTCAACAAAAAGCTCTATCTCTGAAGGCTTCTTTCATAATGTAGTCAGACACTTGGGGTGCGTTCACACCTGACCTGTTTGGCTCAGTTTAAACTAACTCAGGTCTGTTTGTGCAGTTAGTACGGTTCGTTTGGGCTGGTGTCAAAGCTGTCAATCAAACCCTGGTGCACACCAAACAACCGAACCGAGGCCGCTCCAAAAGGTGGCTCTGGGTCCGCCTCCAGCTGACTCTGGTGTGGTTCGTTTGTGGTGTGACAAGACGAACTAATCACAGGATTCTATGAAGCAGATCTGTGATTTTAGCAACAGCTGAACCAAAAATAAATCCATCTGCTGATCCTGAACCTGTCCGCCATCTCATCACTGATCCTGGAAACTGATTGATGCCCCCCATATCCCATAACCCAGTGGTGCCCAACTGGTGGGGCGACTCATGGGTCCATTCTACTGGACCGTAGGTGGCTCTGAAATGTTTGTAAAAAACACAATTCATTTTGAAGTACAGTGAATTTCTGGCCTCAGAGCTTTTATTTTGAAGAGCTGTTTCCTGCTGCAGAGTGACTGACTAACAGACAGATACTTGACAGAGACACACAAGTGTGATGCTAAATGTGTTTAACTGTGACGACCTTGAACTGATGACTGGGGACAAATCTAGACCAGCTGGGGACCACTGCCGTAACCTACTGATGCTGAGGCACACACGTAACCATGGTAACACAGATGCAGGTCAGCGAGGGTATTTGCTCTGATTAAAGCTGTTCATACTGCCATCACTGTATCCACTATGTGTGGACCCACAGTCTGAAGCCCAGAATCATTTCTGTGCATCCTGTGTGAGTGCTGGTCATTATTCACAACATGCAGCTGATCTGCAGTGTGATGTTAACAACGCTGACAGTCAGGTGTTTCTCTGTGAGCTCTCAGAAACAGAAACACTTCAGAAGCTGCTGCACAAACTTCTGTTTGATTTCCACACCTGGGTCCTGATGACGCCAAAACTGTCCAATCAACCAGTCACCTGTCAGTCGGCACAACTTCCTGTTTACTCCTCTTGGTTTGTCTCTGGTGCGACCACATGAACCAAAGTACAGGTGTGAACGCAGCCTGAGAACACTGTGAGCCTGTCAGTGGCAAAAACAGACTTTAAGTGAACAGAAATTGACGATGTTTCGCCCGTGTGGCCCTGTCGCTCAATACTGATCAGTTTTTAAAACACAGTTGTTCCCGTTCATCACTTGGACACAAAAACATGGTAGTTACCCTTTAATGATTGTGACCTTTCTCCAGCACCAACCTGAGACCTGTGTGATCTCAGCCATGAGAGGATTATCACCACTGATGTTCACTTGTAGCTCCCTGACTTCAAATTGTTCAAGTGCTCAGCAATTTACACCTACAGCAGCTATTATTCATTAAAGCCACATATATTCTGCACAAACATATCCCTGCTCCATTAATCCACAGCTGGAGGAAAAGTGCTGTTCCTTAAAATGAGGCCGCAACAAACATCATATATTATAATCATATTCATAAGTACCTCCTGCCATCAGTGGTGGAAAACAAAGAGTGCTTTCTTGAGAAATGTTTGAGCTACCTCTGAATCATGAGGCAATCTGTTGCTTGTTGCTGCTCCAGAGAGAAGAAATGAGTTTGGGGGAGGGGAATAAACTAAACTCAGCATTTTAGCAGCTGAAACTCTGCTGCTCATTTACTGCAGGCTCCAAGGTTAGCTAAATGTTTCCTTTAAATTACAGAGGACGTGGATCTGATATCTCTTTTATTACAGGATGCTTTGAATCTCTTTCATAATTCATTTTTTCCACAATCAGAGCAACACACACATCAGATCTCATCGCCTCGTTAAGCCCCCAGCAGCGCTGCCATAAAAACACCAACACATGGAAATCATTGTGATGGTAATGTCCCACATTTCTTTAATGTTCAATCTTCCATAGTCGAGCTCAAAGACAATGAGTCCTGATACCAGAGCAGATGTGTTTCAGGAGGACTGAAGACCAGATCACATCAAGATAAATCTGTGTGTCGTCATGTGCAACAGGAAGTGGACAAAATTCACTTCTGGTCTCAGCCCAGTCGCCAGAACAAAATGTTTCATACGCATCATGTTGATCTTTCTAAAGTGACAGAGTTTATGAGCTGACTTGACGATATGTAGGATGGCGTGTCTAAGTTTTAGATCAAGACTCCGTTCAAGACCAACAAACTACAAAACCAGTTGTCTTTTAGCAAATCATCACAGCGTTGACAGCAGCTTTTTAACCACCAGCTGTGTTTTTGTGGTGACCTGTTACCACGAAGAATGGTTGGTCTTAACCAACGAGACATCGCTGCATTTTCTGTTGAGATGATGCCAAGAAAAGCGGTTGTTCAGTAATGAGTCATTCCAGTGTTTCCAACGGGGACAGCGCCACAAAAAAGACATTGCTGCGTTATCAGCGGGGATACCGCCCAAAAAGGCACGTTTTTTTGTTGTTTTTTTTTACCAAGACAGCGTTGTGTTTCTTGCGATTTCATGGCAGGGTGTTTTTAGGCAGCACACTGCATTCCTTGTCTGGACAGTGCCATGAAAAGCGGTTGGTTTTTAACCATACAACCCTGGGTTTTCTGTCACACATCGCTGTGTTTCCTGTAGAGATAACGTCACAAAAAGGGGTTGTGTTTTGCAGAGACATTGCTACATTTTTTGCCGGGACAGTGCCACAAAAAGTGGTTGGTTTTTACCGAGACAGTGCTGCATTTCCTGTTGGTATAGTGTCACCAAAACTGGGTATTTTAAGCCAAAACATGATCTTTTTCCAACCATAACCAAGCGCCTCCCGTTCCTTCACCAAATCACAGCGTAGAAACCTAAGTTGTAATGTTACAAAGCCAGCCTTTATTCTGGTGACTGGGCTGAGCCTCAGACATGCTTTAAGTCCATCAGTTCCCATTTCTGATCAAATCTTTTCTTTCCCAGATTTTCATTTGCTGAATCTGACATTAGAAGTAACTGATCAAATGTTTCTGTGCTCTAATCATGAGTGGGGAACTCAAAAGGTGTAATATTACACTCTGGTGTGAAATTAAACAAATTAAAATGTGAAAAGTTTGTACAACAACACACACATTTCTTCTTTTAGCAGTTCATTTCCAAATTTCAAAGAGCCAGAAATGATCACACTCATTTTCCATACTTGGATAAACCAGTAGAAAAGCCTTAGATTTTATTGTTCCTGTTTTACACAACCCACCCACACTCCACATTTACTGTAAGTGCTGAGGAAGAGGAGGATGTGAACACAAACACTCTGAGCCAGTGAAGCTCAGATCAGATCCAGTCCGGTCCCAGCCATATTGTGAAATGAGCCATTAGGTCATGTAGGTGTGGTTCTGCTGTTGGAAGGCAACAGAACATTGGGAGAGCGCGATGATGAATCATAACGAGGCTGAAGTGTTGCAGCGGTCCCCCGACAGATCTGTAGTGCAGATGCCAGATGGACGTGGAGCGGAGCTGTGCAGCTATACTGCCTTTTATTTTCACTTTTTACTTCATCCAGTGAGAGAGAGATTTAAAATAAAAGATGTTCTGGCACAACTGTTGAGTCCTCATGAACAATGAACAATAAAAGCATGACTCAGTCCCATGCTCCAGTTGTTTGCTGTTATTGTTGGGAAAGTGCAGGAAGCCAGGAAATCTTCCCATAATTCTCTGAACAGATCTCACACTGCCTAATAATGATGAATGTGACATCTCCTGACTGAAACCATGTTAAATGTGAACACTGAGCTAATATCCCAAACACAGGCAGAGGGTGAGACGAGTCTCTGCCTCCTTCAGTGGCAGACGCAGCCATGTCTGAGCCCAGGGACTCGCAGGAAGGAAAGCACGCCACAGGCTGCTCAGACGATACGGGCTGCCTCTGGCCTTGACAACACAGCTACGCATCTCTACTGCTGCCAACACAGACCTGTTTATTAACATAGTCACTTGACACTGGCATATGCTGGAGGCTGTGTGGGCGAGGAAGGAGGATTTGAATGCAAACAGACTGGCGTCTAGTTGTCACAACTGCTCCTGGAGACACAAACAGTCGGCCTTTAAAATACAAATCATAAAACAAATTAAAGTAATAAAATCTTTCTAATTTTTCATTGAACAATAAGTAAATAAATAGCAAAATTAACCTTCTATAAAATTACAAATATCTGCAAAATAAAGTCATTTGCTGCTGAAAACACCAGAGACTGAAAAGAGAGCTTCGAACACAAACACAAGGCAGCGTTGCATAGTTTTAAAACCACGACTGAAACCAGAGTCCTGCACAAGGTCAGGTTCACACCTGTGCACGTGCAAAAAGTGCATGTGACAGACAGAAGCACACGCAGCACTAGGTGGATGTGGTGATGTAAATCAGAGCCCTGCATCAGGTCGATGACCTCGCAGGTGACCCACACATAAGGTGAATCATTGGGTCAGATTGCCAACATCTGATGGTAAATAAATAAAAATAAAATACTAATTTAATGTCTTAAGCCTGTCGTCTGCACGAGCTGGAATATGAGAGCTGCTCCAATCAGGTGCGTTGCTAACAGACACGTTAACATGTAAGCTGTGGAGATGTGCTGCTCAGTTTGAGAATCAGCAACAGTTTGTTTTTCCTGAACTACCTTTGTTTCAGAATATATGATCTTAGTTTCACATGTATGAAACATGCTGTCTGACTGAATTATTCAAACAGGTTATGGATTTGAAGTTTGGGGTCGATGGCAAATCGTGTGTTGGTGTTTCATGACACAGACACAGCTGTACGCTGTTTAACATGTGTTTAGCCTTCATGGGCTGTAGACTGAGCTCAGGGAAATAAAAGTGCTGGATATGACCAACCACAAATGTGTCTCTCTACCTCGAGCATCACAAGCTTTCATGAAAAGTCTGGTCAAATTCTTAAAGGCAGCACACACTGTATCTCATGCACATTAAGGTGTGAGACTGGGAGGTTGTGTATTTGTAAAACTAAAGCACTTCAAACAGAGGCTACATCCACACCAATATATTTTCATTTTGGAATGCCATCTTAAAATGAAGTCAATCTCCGTACACACAGGCTTTTGAGCACCGTTTCAGGGATAATCTCCATCTCTACTGACACCCCTAACAACGTGCATCACATGACCAGTCACACAGGTGGGGAGCAGACGGTCTACTCTTGGTTTGCTGTCACAGAGTAATATGAGCATACGGTGGTCAAGGCGGCGGGAAATGTTGATTGTGAGTCACTGCAAAGCAAATATGGCGGCACATGAAACCATGGAGGAAACCGTGGCATGAGAGGAGTACATACACAAGAAGGATGACATCACAGAAAGTATGTAGGCCTGGGAAACTCCCCAAAAACTAAGTATGGCATAGTTTAGCAGGACGCAGCTTTGCATGCTTTAACAGGGGTCAGAAGTGTCTTCAAAAGATTTAGAGGTTCAAATACGCCAGAGTAGTTTGGATACTAGGTGAGGAAAATCAATTCTCAGGTGCATCACGATGTGGACGATTCAGCATCAATTCAAAAATCAATAATCTTAATGTTTTTTAATAACTTAATGTTGATGGAATGAAAGAGGCAGAAATCAACCACGAAAGCAGGGCAGCACCCGCACAGTCTACAGTGCAGCACACGCTGGAGTTAACCTGTGATTCATCCTCACAGACGGCAGCAGTGTCAAGCTTGTTTTAATGTCTAAATACATCTGCAAGGTGAACATGAAGTGTTTTGTGAGTATTTTCTACGCCATCACCCAGAGACGAACGTTAATGGAACGGAGAAACGATCAGCAGTAACAGAAACAAGCGAGACCGACTGACCAACACTCACTGCAGCATTAACCAACTTCAACCACAATAACTCTGCTCAGTCTGTTTCACCTCAGAAACCCTGCACCTGGTGCGCTCAGCGTCTTGGCTCCTCCCAGAGGGAACATTCAGCAGAGAGGCTCCTCCCACTGATGAAGACATAATGTTAACAGAACAGTGGATCACTCCCCCTCCCCGTCATTTTGTTATTCACGTACAGGCAGACTGTAAGGTGCGTTCAAATTAATTAATTAATGCAGTTTACGTGTTAAAATAAAAAGGCTACAAACCATTTACTGTTCAACAGTACGTAGTAACTTCACACTATTTCCAGTGAACATTACAGGATGTATTCACTGGACACTAAGCTGATATAAATATCCCACTCAAGTTTAGTTTGTGTAACAGCAGATGGAAACAATCTGACTGGTTTAAAGCTCAGGAGTGGAAACATCTTGGCTGTCACACTGTCTGCAAGTAAATTCATCTGTTAATTTCATTATGGATCACTACAGATAAAGTATGATATGTTTTAAAAGCAGCAAGTAGTCACACAGTGAGAAAAATTAATTATGTATAGAAATCAAACATGATTGAATCCTGAGGTGCCTGGAGATTACTGCCCCCAGTGGACACCAGGCCTAAACGCAACAGAAGTTATTTGTTTTAAACTCTATTAGCGAGGATGTAGCCTGAGTGTGCAGCCTGGATACATGCTGTATGTAACAGATTCTCAGCTGTGCAGGAGCAGGGAGAACATGGGTTAGTAAAACCAGACATATGCAGGACTCTGACCTGAACTACGGCTGCACTGACAGGAAGTAAAGCAAACATTTTATCAGACAATGGTGGATCGATGCCAACGTTCCAAATGAATCCAGTAAAGTCCATGAATGGTTGAGGCTGTGGCAGAGTTCCCACACTGAGACGTGTCCACGGCTGCTGGATGAAGCCAACAGCACCATGTTTTGGTTTCTCTTCCTGAAGCAGGAGGACAGTTTTGCTTGTTTCCACTTTGTCCTCAGTGTTGTCTCTGTCGCTGTATTTCCAGGACGTGTGGGGGACCGTGTGAATGTAGGCCCTTTTGTTCTTTGTGTTTAAGGTCTCTGTCAGACATTGTAGTCTGGCGCTTTGCCCAGCGGCTGCCTCAGTCTGATCTGCAGGGTCATGAAGGCCCCCACCGCCACATGGAAGAGGATCTGCCACATGTTCCTCAGTTCATACAGATACATGTTGGACAGACAGATGAGTGCAAACGCCAGGAAAGACTTACTGTTCCTCCACACAGAGAAGTAGGCAAACAGGTAGCACTGAAAGCAGAACGCACAGGAAAATATGAATGCTGCACAGTCTGTGTGTGACTGACATTGACCAGTGACATGTTTTCATCATTAATGTCCTTCACGGGACAACAAGTCTGCTCAGTAAGTAAGAAATCCCGTCTGATAACTCTGTCTCGCCATCACTCTACCAATTTGTGGTGCTCCATTTAGTACCAGGAGCTGCACAAAAGGAGCTGATGAAAATGTTTTAGAGACGGTAGTGGGGTGAAAGGCATTGAGCTTTTGCTAATGTTAGTCTCGCTGACAAGCTGCTGAGCTGTAAAGTGCAGGGCTGTTAGTCAGCCAGTCAGCCGGTGATGGGCTGCTCTTACCGCAGACGATCACTTACCTGATACAGACAGGCCGCTGTGCCGAGGAAGAAGGCAATCACATAATTAAAGTCTTCATCATCATTCTACAGGCAGAAAGAAAAGGCATTTTTTCAGAACTAGTCGTCTACGTCTTGACGAGGCATCACAAAACCAATATGACCAGAAAATTAATTACATTTCTTTTTTCATTTAGCCTCATTTAATTTAATAGAGTTTGATATGACATCAAGGACAGAGTGGGCAGCAGATGGCCGACTGAAAATTCAGGTTAATGACAATTTGGACTTTGTTTTGGTCGTTTCTGTTTGATGATGTTGGGACAGTGAAGTCAGGTGGGCAGGAAACACAGGTAGTGTTAAATCAGACAGGTAAGAGACGGATCATCTGAACCACCGTACTCAGAGGTGACACCAAAAGTAGGCTCACTGAATTATTCCCTAACTGCACAAGAACACTGTGCACAGTGCGCACACAGCTACAGAGATACAGGACATTAGAGCTGTCACCAGAATTATGTTTCTGACTTATCATACGACACATGAACACGACCTTCATCATGTTGCAGTTGTGTTTACATAAGAATGTCACCAACATGATGTCAGAATAAACAGCAGGACTTGAGTGCAGCGTTTTTCCCGCCTACTTGTCTGTGAGTCTGATAATGAAACACTTCAAAGACGACACAGTGCAGCTTCCTGGTAGCCTGCAGCTGCATTTTTGGAGCTGGAGTCCTTAGCTTGCAGACCTCTGACAATGAGCCACAAAGCCTGTAGTTGGTAGTTTTAACCTCCAACAACTTCCTCCTTCACTTTGTAAATCCAGCAGCAAACAGCCGGCACCCAGGCCGTCAATACCTGAAGCACAGTGTCCGGATTATAAAGGTAACTGCAGTGTTAATGTAGCTTCACTAAGCTTGTCTATTAGTCACATGAGGCATCACTTGGTTTAGTTTCTGTCGGCCAAATTCTGTATTCGGGCTCTGACACACCAAGCCGACAGTTGTCTGTCAGTCAGGGTCTGGCATCCTAGTTTTTGTGGTGTATCCTGCACTGTTGGAACTAGTCGGCTCTTTTCAGGTGTTCTTTGGCTGATTCAGCACGTTGGATCTGCAGCAGACCCGGCAGAGTCCAGAAGGTTTTTATTTTTAGCCCTTGAGTTTTGCAGAAAGTTCACGATTGCTTGTGTTGTTGTTCACAAGCTGTAAATATCCTTTGTTCTGGGTTGTGTTGTTAAAGTGCTAACTGGCTAACTCACATCTTGAGTCCGACCTGTTGGAATTTCTATTTCCCTTTTTGAAAGACGAATACAGACTACTGCTTTATGTCAATTACAGTATAATAATCAGGTTATCTGACTTAAACCAAAGTCCTCACAAAGAGCACAATGTGTGCAAAATTTATGGAAAGACATTGTAATTTAAATTGCAACAAAAATAAGATAAAACAGAAATATATCATAAATATATTATCTATGTGGGTCTACAAGAGACTCTTCCTCTTGGTGTACATTCTGTTCTGTATATGCGGTGTTGGTTTAATCAGTTTTCGCTTTGTATAGAGAGTTATTTCTTCTCACGCCGTCACAGAACACACGTATCAGTTGGTCGTAGGCTGTGATCTTTGTGCTGTGTTCATGTGCAACTGTTTCGCCAAGACACAATGACATGAGGTGACGTGAGGTGACGATACAGCTGGTCTTTGCTGCCACCAGTTCTTTGGTGTTTGCTTGGTGTGTCTGGGCCTTTCAGTCTCAAACTGAGTAATTTTGGGCACTGCCAGTTTATAGACACTTATTTTTTGAAAAATATGTTGAATATATTTTCATATTCCGATGTCTGAGTATTCGTACGAATTAAAGTTCTTTGCTCTTTGAGAGGGTGAACTTGCATCATTATATCAGCGGCACATACTGGTCTCAAAATGACAATAATAACTTTTATTGCAATTATTTCTGGACGATTTATTGTCCAAACAAATAGTTATGGTGCGAGGCCGAGTCAGAGAGCTGCTCTGTAAACTGTGACGGTCATAATTCTACAGATTGCTTTCATGTTTCCTGATTAATAAAATACGTTTTAACTAACCTGGATGTTTGTTTAAAACCTGTCTGATCATGTGACTGCTCGTGTTTCCTGTGCCGCCTGACCTCCTTTTAAGAAATTACCCAGATGTACAGAATTAAGTGAAGTGTGTTACTGTCACCACTGACAAACTGTGACAGTATGACTCAGGTTATATGAAACCTGAGGACACGTCCTCACCTGCAGTATGCTCTCTATAGCGTGGACTCCTCGCAGCAGGTTGAGGCCTCCACAGAGGATACTGAGCACACAGGACACGATGCCTGAGAGAGTCACTGGCTCCAACATCTGTGTGGGAGCTGAAGAGAGGAAGGACGTGGTATTACAGACTCAGCAAAATGTTCCTGACAAATGAACTACAGAAACATTACGAAGAAAATCTGCTTTCCAAAGGACAAAACACACGCACATTTTCTAAATGTAATTATTTATGAAGACTTTTATTCACAGGATAAAAGAATAAATCCATGAATAGCAATGAAGAGCCTAGCAGGCACTGCTTTTAAATCTTGTGACTTCCAGAATACTCTGGCGCAGGAAAAGAAGAGATGCGTCACTATTATCAGATTAGCATACTTCATCCCTCAGGACAAAATGATTTATGTTCTCAGAAAACGGAGACTGACAAGGGCAACCAACAGAAAGGGAGCAAAGCGTGGAGAGCTGCCCTAAAGAGGATGTCAGGGGGAACACAAGCGCTATAACTGACCCGAGGTGGCATCACTTAGCTTGGGGCTGCTGAGGTGTGACGGTGCGTACAAGAGGGCTGTTGTCTGGTGGAGCTGAGGGGTAGCAGGGCGGAGCCACAGAGCAACAGTGGAGCTGTCTGACTATCTGAACAACATACAGTATAACCAAAGGATCATTATTTTTCTTTTTGTTTCACAGATTTTATTATGAAAACACCTCGGGCCTGTTCAAACGATCTATAGCTTATGGTCTTAAGAGCATTTAGAGCATCTCCAGCTCCACTTAAGTTAAACGGCGCATAATCTGGACACAAAGTGAGGCACAAGGGGCAAAGAGATTGTATTTAGTCCCTTATTTAATCATGTGTGTGTTCTGGGCGTAACATGAATTCAGCCAATCAGAATGTCATCTCCCATTCCCTTTAAGAGTCAGGTCCGCCTGCACCTGGTGCTCTGATATTTACATGGCGGGTGCAGCAGATTGGAGCAGCAAGCAGTTTCCTGCTGAGAGTAAAACATTAAGGGGTCGTACACATGCCGCCTTTTTGCACCCTGAAATTCATAATTTCAAATGTAGACGCACAGCAGGCGCCTGATAAAAATGCACAAATGGGATGAATTCTGGTGCTGCGATGTTACAACAAACATGTGGCTTCTAAAGGCTGGATGTGACCTGGTCGCAGACACAACTTGTGTTTTTAGGCAGCGATATGAAGAATGACAGATGCGGCGTTGTATCCAGTTGTGTTCCTTTACTGGTGTTTCTGAGGAAATCACCAGTGACCTTTATATATCATTGTGTTACAGAGACCAGTGCTCCCAGTGCTGACAGCACCAGATAAGATGAGATGAAACTTTATTGATTGTAGTTAGCATGACAATACAAACCTCTTTTATACTCAGGTGAGGTTCGTGTGTGTGTGTGTGTGTGTGTGTGTGTGTGTGGCAGCTCATGTCCTACCAATGCCTTTGTATTTAGAGGGCGTGTGCACTGAGAATCCATTGATAGCCCGCAGGTCCTCAGGGGAGAGCTGGTAGGGCGGTCGCAGCTTGATCTCTGTCTGCATGTCAGCCAGGTTGATCTTTGTGGACAGGGAACGTGGGCTGTTGTAGCGCTGTTTGGTCTTCTGGATGAAGGTGTCTGATGGATGAAAGTCAGCACAACAACACGGTGGTTAAAACACAGCGAGCCAAACAAGGAGACAAACACATCATTTGTAAGTACAAGGCCGACCTGCCCTCAGGCTTAAAGCAAGATTTATGTCTTTGAGTTAGTGGATTATCTCTGACATGATTCAGTTTCTATCAACACTGATTTATTGTTTTAATCATTTATGAAGTTCAGATGCAAAACATTCTCTGGTTTCACAGTTTAAAGTCTAACGATCTGCTGTTTCTGCTTTTACATCATTTTAAACAGAATATCTTTGGGTGTTGGATCATAGAAGACATCTGCACATGCCCACTGGGCCGTTAAGATGCTGCAGTGGACAATTAATAAAACAGATGAATATAAAATGGCAGCATTAATGCAGCTCTGCTGAGAAGTCATTTTGTGATGAAATATTGTTAATTATTTTTGGTCCAACCACTTTTAGGAATCCTTTTTTCAACCTTATTTCATACATTTCCCAGAATACTCTTTGATGAGCTTGAGACAATGCACCTAGTTAAATTTAGGCATTGTTAGAAATTCAAACTCATGTTGGATGTGATCAACACAAACAAAGAACAGTGATTTTTTTCCCCTATAACTTGACCAACTTGCCCGGTGTAAACACAACTGTCGATGCTAATGACCTTGTCCTCCAGCCTTCCTAACATCTCTGTGGTTACATGGCGGGATGATGAAAGCGTACAAGATTCTAGACAACTACAACTATTTTGTGTGGCTGGGTTCACGACTAAAGTGACTGCCGTCTTGGTTTTGGCTGAGTGAGTAAATGTGTGTGAGTTTAACTGTCTTTTATATCTAAACAACAGGCTAATGTTACTAGCTAACATTAGCTAACTTCAGCTACTATTTTTTACCTACTAGGAGTCTGTGTGGTGAAACAGCGTTAAAAATCTGGGTCGTGGCTACATGTAAGACTAGGGAGACATCTTAAGGTTTTTTTAGCATCGGCCTCTGGATTTAAAGAGTTCCTCACCCTTTCATCGTCGTTTACAAACATGCCAGAGTTATCTTTTCTGCTTTGTATCTCTGGTGATAATCAACACAGTACGAGCCGACTGTCAAAGGGTTACAGTATAATCTTATCTTATCAGTTTTGACATGTTCACTTTGTTAATTTAAAAAGAAAATAAATAAATGATGTGCCCATATAATCGTGCATCCCAATTAGTAAGTGCGTCACTTCAGGAATGAACGGGGGCGTCTGCTAGACACAATATTTTTGTCTACCAGAAATGGTGGTTTTGGAGCAGTGCAGCTCAAACCAGCAGATGGTGGGACGACTTCGATTAGGATCGTTGTCGATGACGAGGGGAAGGAAAACTTTTGCACGTCCAGATCATCACTGGTATCTTTGACCGAGCACTATCAACAGTCACGATGAGATCTCCAGTAGGGAAACAAGAGCCTGTACACTAACCGAGCTGTGTGTCACAAGGGGAAGCTGTGGAAGACATTTTTGCAATCTCCTGCAGACAAGGATGTTTGGACAGATTTTTTTTTTTTTTTTGAAACAAAGGGGAAAATATCAGTTTTCTAAAATACCTATAGTTGTGTAGACGGGGTTTTATTTTGGATCTGTTCCCTGCATTACTGCAGGGCAATGACATCATAGGTTAATTATGTGATAGTCAGCTGTAATGTGCAGTAAAACGCTGTGGAGCTCACCAAATTCAATAAAGGAGTACGGCCGCACGGCGCTGCTGATGCGTTTGGGGTCATAGGTGATGATAAACTCCTTCTGCAGCTCATCCAGGAAGCAGAAAGCCAGGACATTGGGGTAGTTTGCGGTGCACACCATCAGGTATCCAACACCCAGAGCGCTCGTAAAGCTGAAACATACACACAAACATTATTGCTTTTCATGCACTGCACTCCTTCCTCTTGACAGAAACCCTGGGAAACTGTAATTAGGACACCAGGCTAAATACAGTGCAGATTATTATGGGGAAAAAAAACGCATAATGGCATTTGTGATTGTGCTGCTTGCTGCTCTGAACACAGTACAAATACTATTTCAGCACATTTGTGGCTAACAGATTCACACGTTCACAGCCAATTAAACACAATCCCACATTCACATGCACCTCAGCAGACTCTCTATCTTTTGGCCCTGCAGTGTTAATTGATACACTGAGCACAAATTAAATTCCCCAGACACAAAGACTTGCACATTATCTGAAGAGCTCAGAGCTCTGCTGAGGTGAACGTCGGTTATCACAACATCTAAATTGATGTGGAACATAAATGTCAACAAACAGAGCAGATGTGACGAGAACAGAAACACAGATATATAGAATATATCTGAAGAATGAGGGTCAATCTGATACCAGCATGTCACCGCATAGCTGCAGCGCCTCAGTAATCAAATAAATGACTAACGCACAAATATCAGCGGGACGCAGGCCTGATCCTTAATCGCAAAACACTGAGTGATGCTTAATACTGTGGCCTCTAGTTTTACAGTGCCTACAGTGAGTAAGTAAAGTTCATTTATACAGCACCTTTCAACAGCAGGCATCTCAAAGCGTTTCGCAATAAAAGACAGAAGAAACCGAACATTCAAAGGCTCCACGGGGAATGAATTTCAAAATTTAGGAGCCACAACTTCAAAAGGCACAGTCTCCTTTAGTTTTTAGCCCAGAGGGGGGAAGAAGCACCGAGCCCTGATCAGAAGACCTCAGACACTTAGTAGTGATATAGGACAGTAGTAGCTGAGTGATGCAGGCAGGTGTCTCACCATGCAGCTGCAAAAATGATTACAAGAATCAGTCTATGCAGGAGAAAGATGCAAATACTTTATTCTCTCTGGTCATAAAGCACCAGTTTCTAGAGCACAAGGGCTGTGGCATTTGAGACGAGAAACAGGAAGCACAGTAACAGAATCTTGGTTCATATTTGATCAGCACTGCTTAGATTTACTGTTTGATCCAAGCGGTGACCTCTGAGACTGAAATGAGGCCAATATGGAAGCATCAAAAACTGCAGTTCCTCTAATGTCCACTAGAGGCTAGTGGCTTAACGTTACGCATATTTAAGGGTGGATCCAACCCTCGCTCCTCCACAGCTCCACCCTCTCATCCAAATACGGTCATTTCTGGCTCCAAAAAACACAAGACGGTGACAGCCAAACTCAAGGCTTCAAAACAGGAGTCTACAAACCAATGAGTGATGTCACGGAAGCTACGTCCATTATTCATTCAGTCTATAGTTTGATCACAGTTTTTTCAGCCTGTTTTAACAGTACAGGAAGCATTATGGCACCCACTTCCTTCACAAACTCTCATATTACAGCCAAACAGTCAAGTAAAATATGATTATGAAGACATTTTGGGTCAGAAATAAGAAACACACCGCCAGAATCTTGGTTTTAATTTTGATCAGCACTACCTAGTGTTTCCACTTTGATCTGAGTTTGGTCTGTGTTAGAGACGGCGGGAAGGAGGGGCGGGTCTCTCTCTTGATCCACTTTTATACTCTCTGCGTCAGTGATGGTGGACATACAAAAATGCAGAAGTACGATTTGTAGTTTGAGCAACTGCCCTTTAGCCAATGAACATGGATGGTAAGACGCTAACATGTCACCCAGCGGGTTTGAGCTGAGAGATGAGCAGCGAGATCTGGGCGCTGGTCAGATGAAGTTTACCACACTTCATTGACACACACTACACACACACACACACTGTAATGACACCAAGCTGGTTGAAAATCCACAAAGTGTGCACACTAAACAATTGACTGAAACTAGTTTGTGATTGTAAAGCTGTGTCAGTGTTTGGCTGCACCACAGAGACGTACTGTAATACCCAGTTCAGACCAGATTCATGATGAGACAAGTTAAAATAGACAACTTCTTGCAATGTGCTGTTGTGCAATGTTCTCAAACCCTGCTGGTTCACACCAATGCATGAATATGACAGAATGTAAAGTAGGATGTGTTAAGGTTACTGCAAAGCCTCTGCATCCTGTCAGACACACTGTATATAATATAGTCCCTGTATAACAGAAGATAAACAGGGCTTGAAAGGAGAAATAAGTGAACTTGTGTTCCAGAAATGTCCAAATTAATTCAGCTATAGATGTTACTGATGAGTCATTTCCACACCGAATGATTTGAGGAATCTTCCCCTGCCTTCAGACATGTAAGAGACATAACAACAGCTTCTACAGAGCCCAAAGTATCACACAACAGATTAACCTGTGACTTTAAACACTTCCTGCGTCAGCCTGACCTTCACTGTCTCCTGGCCTTCTCTTCTGCAAATGCTTCAGGCTCTCACTAATGAAAGGGACTCTTATCAAGAGCGATTCCAGTTGTTGAAAGGTACGGCTGACTCACTGATGATTCGGAGTTTCTTTTGAGTTCATGTTCTCTGTCTTAATAAGACTAATTAGCTCTTAACAAACAGTGCTTGAGAGAGTTTCAAAGCTTTTCCCTGAGCACCAGCGGGGCTTTTAGAAACAGTTTGACACTTCAAATGAAGGCTCAGCTGTCAAATCACTCAAATTAAAAGCATTTTTCCATCAAAGTTGTGTTAGAGGGTCAAGAAAAGAGCAGAAGAACTGTCAGCACAAGACCGTTTCATCTCTCATGGGTGTAACATCTCTAAAGCTAAATCTCTAGACTGTATTTTATTGAAAACATGTTAAGTGAATCATTTCATAGTCATATAAATACTGCTCTCATCATGTACGAACAGTAAACCACAAATTACTGGGTATCATACTTTGTTTATCACAGCTGTTAGCTGTATTGCATTCATATATAAAGGTCCCCTTAGAAGGACCACAGATTAAGCATATCAAATCAACAGCCTTACTTGACATTGTACGGTCCAGTCTTCAGTGTGCAGCGGTCGGGAAACTGTCCGAGTTTCTTGGAGAGACCCTTGAGGTGCCTCTTGGTTTCCTGAAGCTCTCTGTCCTGCTCATAATCAGTGGATGCAGACAGAGGCAGGCCATCTCCGACCCGGACCACAGAGGCGAACAACACCATCGACATCTTACAGCTCTGGCAATCTCACTGCAGCCCTGCAAACACACACAAGAGAGGGAAGGAAGGTTATTAAAAGTGCAGCAATAATAGCTGAGTATCCAACGTTGTTCAATACAGAGCTTTCAATTCAATCAGCCAACCATTTTGTTGTGTTAAGTCCAGTTCAGGCCAAAGATTTGTGACAAGACGAGTTGAAACAAACAACTACTTTCAACGCTCCGTTCTATTGGCTGCTGGTTCACAGGAAGTGACCATGATGAGACTATGTTGAGCTCAGTCGAGCTCAGACTGGCCAGTTCACACCGCTGCAACGTTCTGACACGGCTTCATCTCATCGTGACTCTTTGGTCTGAGCTGGACTTTAGTCACTACGAGACTCTGTGAAGTCCAGGGCTGTTCATAACATCACAACACTCAGGACGCCACAGTTTGTTCCACCCTACTGAAGCTGCTCCTTTTTTTGAAACCACCACAGAGTCGCTGATAAGTTTACTCTCAGCCATGCTTGTTCTTTCAACATCAGGTTGTGTTGTTCATGTGCTAACTGGCTAACTAGCGTCTTGAGTCCATCCTGGCGTTCTTTTTGGTTTCACTTCTTGAATGATAAATACAGATGATCACCACCCGCTGCTGTGGGTTTATTTCCTCTCACGCAGGCACAGAATGCACAGGCTGGTTAGCCGTCGGCTGTCGTCTCTGTGGTGCATTCAAGTGAAACTTTTTGGCTGAAACACAGGCGACACAACAGTCAGCCTTTGTCACCACTACTTATCTGAAGACAGTCTGATGTGTCTGGGCCTTTAGAGATTCGACAAATGAAACGATGGCTCAGGTACTGTTTATTCTGCTGTATGGATAATGTGAGGAACTGTAGAGCTGCAGTAACTGCTATCTTTCAGTCAAAGTTCAGTCATATAGTTAATTCTCTTTTTAACCAACATCAAATATTCATCAGTTTATAATCTGCATCAATACGTACACAGGCCCTTCATGGTCCCCTGGGATCCTGTAGTGTTTCTTACTCACACTATCTGCTCATAGTGTGTTTTTCTACAGACGTCCACACACTTTGTGTGTTTTACAATCTTATCAATGTCCTGCCTAACTGACATTTCCTCCAGGTCTCTATGAATAAGTGAGTGATCTCATGTGCAGTCAGTGTGAGTCAAACTATCCACAACAACCATCATGTTTAAACCGCAGCTACGTCAAAACATGAAGACAAATATCATCTTGTACATGGTGTCACAGCACTTCAACATTTTTAAACACAGTAAGGGGGAACCTGCAGTGGGTTTTATAAGTAAAGAGCTTTAAAAGCAATAAGTTCTTAGACACCTTCATACAACACAGCCTCAGTACAAGGGAACACGAGGGAGTTCTTCCAGAACAAAGCAGAACACCTCAAAAGAGGAGGAAGAATATATCTGAGGTGCTGTTTTCTCCAGAGGGATTCTGGTGTCTGCAGAACAGTGTGTATATTTTTTCTATTGAAGGTATACTATGTAGGAGAAGAAAAAAACAATATGTAGACTCACAGAAAAGTGAGTGTAGCCCTCTCAATCATCAATTATGACCTACTAGAAGTGTGTGGCGATGTAGTTTCCTGCAGAGACCATAACCTCTACCTGGATTTTATTTTATTCTTATTTTCTGTGCTTGATGTGTTTATGGGCGTGTCCCCCCACAGCCATGAGGTGAGGTCAGGTATATTATAACAAGGTAGTGACCAGGTGCCACACCATAAGCAGCAGACATCCACTCCACTGAGGTCAAGCTGACTGATTCTAGATGGATGGAATCAATTCTTACTTGTAACAGGCGACTGCATTACAGTGAAGTGAAGTTCTAACTGTTCTATTATTTACCTTTTATATTTACTTTAATATCTGTCATTATATCCACATTACTGATGATTAGTCATCAAAAATCTCAGAGTGAAAATATTCTGTAAAAAAGCACCAACAGCCAACAACACTGTCGCCATATCGATATCCAAGTATCTGGTCAAAAACTGGGGGTTATTTGATTATCTCTCTATAATCACTCAGCCCTGCTCGTCACTCTACGTCGTACCTTTGTCTATAATGCTCTTGTATGGTTTGTATAGTTTATATTTTTACTTCTGTTCTTATATACCTCTTGTTTATTCCTATTTTTGTGTTCATCTCTGCTTGTGTCTGTCTTGGTGCTGCAACCAAACATTAATTTGACCTTTATGGATCAATAAAGACTTCTCACATCAGACTAACAGAGATGCTGCGATGGTTAATTAGGCATGCATGAGCTTTGGTCCCTGGGACACACACTGATTGTAATGTTGGTGGTACATGTCCATGTGTCTATGTGTCCATGTGTCTATGTGCTGCTGTGAACGATGATCAGAGCTGGTCGGTGGCTGTCGTGAGGTCGGTGGTGCTAGAACCACGGACAGCTCCACAGACTGTGTGAGGGCCGATCAGGTCAGATGAAGGAGCGCCGAGTGTGCTTCAATCACGACCATCTTTCAGCGCAGACGAGACAGAAACATGAACATTTTATAGCCTCATAGCTGACTCAGCTGTTCAACCTTACCACCTTGGTTAATAACGTTAACGTCAGTAATTAGGCTCCATCACCACCACGGTTTGACAGAGAAGAGACGCTAATGCTAGCTAGCTAACCTGAGGGACATCACTGTTTGCTTTGTTGACATAATATTTCCCCCTAACGACCGGCTCATTAACGAGCTACATGTGTCTTGCTTCAAAGTGTTTCCTATATAATAAGCTGACAGGTTTTAGTAAAAGAAAACTAGCCAGTTAGCTACACAGGACCAGGTTAGCCAGTTAGCCACCATTAGCAGCTAACCAACATTAGCTCGTTCGCCGCATTCCCTTCCAGCTAACGTTAGCAGGCTAGCGAGCTAGCAGCTAGCTACTTTGACAACTCGGGGCAAAGCTACGAGCAACAAACACGTGTCACATGATTTAAAATCATTAGTGTGGTATTTAATACTCACCAAACGAGTGTAGCATCATGTGAACATGTGTAACATGCGGGTATCAATCTGTGCACAGAGCACAGGTAGTTAGCTCATCACACACAGCTGTGATGATTCCGTACGTTTACGTGGCTGTAGCGCGGTGCATTGTGGGTAAGCTCTCATCAGCATCACAGGAAACAACAAAGATGCTCTGTTGAAATGAAACATCAGGAAAATTCATATTTGGGTGTAATCAACATATTTATTTATTAATGAAGTTATTCATATGAACCTCCCTCTGCTACAATAAAGAGTCGTTTATTCTATTTATTAATTATTTATCATTTATCATTGTACAGACTCACAGTACCTTATTGATGTAGCACTCTTTTAATGTTTTTGCCCGTGTTTCAGTTTGGTGTTACTTCTATATGTTGAGGCAGAGCGCACTGAAATTAATAGTTTGAGCTGGGTTCATTCACAATGTCAGGATTTATCATTTTCTGTCAGATATAACAGGTAAAACCAGGTCAGCCGAGTCAGTGGCAGCCAGTTTAGTCTCTTATAAAACATTAGAAAGCTGTTTCTGATTTTATTCAAGTTTAATTTGAAGTGAATAAGCTACTTCTGTCTCTGCACTACTGTTACATTTCTGTTTGCACTATTGTCACACCAGAGACTCTTGGTGGAGTTGTGTTGCTACCTCCTCTCCCCTTGGATCTCTGCAAGTGATGTGAGGACTCTAAAACTTCACCTGAGCCTCCCTCGGCATATGGGTGAGTAGATAATGGCTGAATTTACATTTTTGGGGGCACTATCCCTTTAAGCCTTCAGCAACCAGGACGGCATGAAACATCTACAAACAGGAGTCACACAGTGGATGGTAGAATAGATCATATACTGTAGATGATAACAAAAATAAAACTCAACAAATGCTATTTACAGTCCAACAAGGTGGGTAAACAGTAACTAATGTGTTACTGTAAATTATTTCTCTTTACCTGAGCTTGACTCTATGATAGACCCCAGGTTTCATCATTCAGATCTTCATCACATTTCGGTCATCTTGTTATTCTCTCCTCTCTTCTTGCTCCAGCTGAATATTTTCCCACTGACATCCGGCACCAAATGAGCCCTTCTCCCGAGCATCTGAAGCATCTGAGAGTTTTTTCAATGTTAAAATTAAAATAACATGAAAGATGAATAATGTGTACTCAGAGCCTGCCAAGTGTCAGTGCTGCACTCAAACTGGAAATAGGCCGCTCACTGGCATCAGCACTTTTTCCTATTTTCATACATTTCCTGTTGGAATGAGGAAGAAAACACAAACTGTGGCCGCAGGAAATAAAAACAATACAGAGACGGTTAGTGGCCTCATCCTTCACACACAGCTGTGCAATCTCCCCAGAGCCGAGGCAATGTGTCAGCCTGGAGGGGCCTCCTCAGTGCCCCCACGGCCCGTGTGTGTGTGTGTGTGTGTGTGTGTGTAAGGGAGAGAGAAAAACAGGCACGCAGAGTGAAAGTGGATGATGGATGTCTGCTGCTGCTGACAACTTGATGAATCGCCACAGGTCTCGGCGAGTGTTTAGTGCAGAGAGTGTCAGGTGTGAGGAAGGCGGTGTCGTCATTCGCAGTGACACAGTCTAAACAGAGGTGCAAACACATCACCATTCAAATGCATCAGCACCAATCCTCTCTTTCCCTGAATGTCATCATTATACAGTTGAACTTTTCAGCTCAGCACTTCTTGAGAAGTGTGACACATGGAAACACCTGCAGAACGCTCTCCTGCTTCACCTGCAGGAAGTTTTTTTAAATAAATAAAATTCATGAAATGTGGTTTTTAAGGACTTCCTGTCTGGGGTGAGAATCAATATAATAATAAGCCTAAAAGTCTGGAGCCTCTGTCGTTGTCCTTGGAGATCGCAATGTTCATTATACCTAACAATAAACACTGTGGGACAGACTGAGCATCACAAGGACAGCTGCATTAGCTCTGTTCTCAGGGTGGTGCTAACAAAGGTCACAAGGTCACTAGAATCCAAAGATCTTATATTGTGAGGAGAGTTTAAATGTGCCCTGCACAATCACCAGGAAACATCCTCTGGATCAGAGTTGATTATAAACAGCTGACAATAAAACATGTAATTAGCTGTGTAGCATTTTACATGTAAATTAAAGTTGTATCACCTCCAGCTGACTGCTGCTGCCAAACAGCATCCAGTCTTTATCTTAAAGGTTGTTTCCATCAGAAACAAACAGTCAGTCTCTGTTCAACATGCCGTATGGATTTCCCCAGCATCAATTTGCAGAAACATCTCTTGGTTTTGGTTGTTAAACATGGAAACTGTTGATTTAAAGGCCTGTTCATTTTCTCCTGATGACTCCAGCTTCAATCAGAGGTAAATGTTTGACATTTTCACGCTACAGTTCTGATGGATTTGCTGGAGTGTAATTCACAGATTTCTGTCAACAATATCATTAAAGACGTGTCGTTCTCCTCCGTGTGGACTAACAGCTTCACTGAGCAGCACACAGACTGAACACGTAGGTCTTTCAGCGAAGGATACAAATTATTTTGATAACTGCCTTGTGAGAAACGAGCTAAAGGAAATCTTTATCTACCCCAGCAGATACTCACAGCTTTATTTATTTCATCGATTTCTGCTGTTTGAACCAATTCGTTCCAGTGTGGCTGTACTGAACAGCAACAATAAATAAATAAATAATAAACAGGATGATGGAGCAAAGTTTTGCAGAGAAAAGATCAGCTCAGCAACAGGAAGTTGATTTTTCAGGATGCATCTGAAGAAGAGCTTTTCTAAAATAAAAACATAATGATGGCATAAAGAGGTGAGGCAGAGGACGGGCAGGGGGATGAAGGCTGGGTGCACATTGACGTCACAGAGATAAATTCCTCAATGGCTCAAAACACAATTATCCATAAAAGAAAATGGCTTCTGTTAAGGGTACTTGAATCCAACCAGACCTTGACTTTGTATTAACAACCCTGTGCCCTCCATTTCTTACGCTCATTTTGCTCACGTACAAAAGCTTTTCCCTCCCCACCAAGAAAACCCACAAAGACGCAATGAAGCAATGTGAAGCATGAAAAAGTCCAGCGCCCTCTGAAATCTCCTCTGAAGTGAAATTAGGATTGAGAAGGTATTTTAGCCTGCAGTGCTCGCAGGCATTAATCAGCCGGCACTGCCTGCATCCAAACAGCTCTTTATCTGACCTGCACGACCCGCAGACTGAAAACACTCAACACAAGAAACTTCAAAGTCAGCTGAGACTTGAGGTGGACGCTGTGAGGACTCCACACAGGTCTCCTTGATCCTGATGGATGTTTGCACTGAGGTAACAGAGAATGTAAAACCTGCTGTTTATGACGCAGTCAGCTGAACTTTAAATATCCTTTGTATCGTGCACTGAGCACGTCATTCTGGACGGCTTTCTTGCTTCAGTAACAACCCAGTTAAGCCTAAAAGTTCATCTCTGTCTAGGAATATAATGTCTCATAGGAGATAACTTCCCATATGTAGGAGACAGCCTGATATCTCATATGTAGGAGATAAACTTCACACGCTACAGCCTAATGTTAACATCTCCTAAAGATGAGATGACATCCTTTATCATCTCGGTTTTAATCTTGATTTTATTTGACTTTAATTCTTATTTAGTTTTTAACAACCAAATGTATATTTAGCTTCTTATCTTATGTCTGAGATAATATCACACATGTAGGAGGTAGAAAAATTTAGGTTCTGGACACATTGCCTGCAAATTATTATTATTAATATTTTTTTTAGATTATTTTTTGGGGGCTTTTTTGCCTTTAATGGACAGGACAGATTGAAATAGGTGAGAGAGAGAGAGAGAGTGGGAGTTGACACGCAGCAAAGGGTCGCAAGCTGGAGTCGAACCTGCGACCGCCACAGCGAGGCACAGCCTCTGCACATGGGGCGCCGGCACCACCCACCATGCCACTGACGCCCCTGCAAATATTTTCTCGCCTTCCCTCTGAGGGCTTCTTTACATGGTGCCACCGTGCAGTCAAAGTTTAATTTGTCCAACACTTTGGTTAGTGAGCAAATAGCTGCAAATTAAATGGTTTCCCATCAGCCTCAGCTCTACATGTTCAGTGCTGATGAAGTGTTAGCATGCTATCAGATGAAGGTGATGAAGAATCACCTACTGAAGATTTTGTCATCAATTTAAGTTTGCATCCTTGAGCTCAGAGCTCTGCTGTGTTGGTACAGAGCAGCTGGTATGTTTGTGGACTCCAGTCTGAGTGTCTGATATCAGAGAAATGTGCAGGAAGCAACACTCATGTTACTGAGAATTAACGACTCTGCTCAAACAGATACAGTAGTTATCTCGTCAGGCATGTTGTCAGACGTGGAGTTATGACTGCATGTTCTCTGGCATCAGTGAGAGCGGGGTCACTTTTAGGTCCTGAGCCATTCTCCAGTCATTTCTCATAATAAAGCCATCAGTGTCAGATCTGCTGAGTGCTCCATTTGTTTCCCGTCTCAGATGCAGAACTAAGAAAAAATGTCAGAATAAACACACACACACACACACACAAAATGCTTTCACCAGGACTGTCCATCAATCAGCTCTGTGACCCAACAAGGTCAACTTCTATTTCTGTTATTGTGCCGGCAGCAGCAGCAGCGCAGTTCGGTGTCGCATCATGAAATAACTTTTAACATGTTCTCACGCTCTGGATATTCTTCAGTGACGTGTCAGTTCACAGATGATTGTGTTTGTGTCCACAGTGTCTGTGTGTCTGTAGAGTTTGAACTATGTTTTCCAACTTTCAACACAGGAAGAGTCTCAGTGTTCAGGAGAGCATAAAAACTGGTCACTAGAGTCATGATGATGATGATGATGATGATGATGATGATGGAGATAGTCAGCACAGCAGAGCTCTGAGCTGAAGCATACAAACTTATGACGACAAAATGTTCAGCAGGTGATGTTCACCATGTTAGTCTGAACATGAAGAGCTGAGGCTGGTGGGAATGTCATGTGTTTTGCAGCTATTTATTATTAAGCTATAAATTAAACTTTGACTGCATGTTGGCACTGAGTAAAGACGCCCTGAGAGGGAAGGTGAAAACACTGTCTGGTGGTGTCATAAACACATCTAAGCCTTTACAC